ACTACCGGTATTTTATTTTCGGTTTCTCAAAAGGTCGAGAAGGAAAACCAAGCTTGGCAAAAACAGAATTAGTAAATTAGTGATGAATCACCCTCATGCATGAATCATACACTGATAACAACCTAATTGTATTCATTATCAATACAAAAGGAAGATGCAGAAAAGTAGTGCGTGGAAAAAAAGACAGCGCATTGTCAGTAATTTAGAGACTCCTCCAAAATTTCACAAATCCAGTTTCAGAGGCGCTGACACCCCTGTAGGCATGACTCTCCTGAGCTCTGACAAACAAGACAAAATAGTCCTTTACGCTTTCATAATGAAAAATTTCATAAGCAAATAGAAAAGCAGAGCTGTTCTCTCCTCTGTGTACAGTAGCCTTCAGTGGAAATTCAGACATGTTTAGCATACATGTTACATTAAGCTAACATTTGCATTTTAGGATGCTGAAAGCATTTCGTGCTTCTCCACTATTGATATGATATGCTGAAACAATCCTGTGCTGATGGAGATGATTAATGACCACAGTGTAGCTCACTGCCTCATATCATTTATTTTTCATTTACTCACGTAAAAGAGTAAATGAAAAATAAATAAATAATAAGTATAAGTGCAATCTCTTCTTTTTCAGCAATGCAAGTCAGGAATTCTGACTCGTGTCTAATAATAGAAAATAACATAAGATGAGTTTAAAAAAAATGTCAAACCTGACAATGCACACGTCATGCACACTATAAAACAGGGATGGGTAATTAATTTTCCCTAAGAGGCTGCATGGAAAACTGGGACTGTTGTGGAGGACCCTGTGCATGTGCATGGCCTTCCACAACAGTCCCAGTTATAAAACATGGACTTAGTTATTATGATGTCATTGGTTAGTGAAGTACCGTAATAAAGCTTCATTGAGGTTTTGAAACAGGAGATATTGAGTAAACGGTGTATCTGGGACACTGAACGTTGATTGGCTAACAACTTGTCAATCACAAGTCATTAGCCAATGAGCACACCCTCCTTTCTGACACTAAATGACCAAAGCTTTATTCAAAATGACAGGAAAAAAGTCACTGAACTGGCAACCACTGAAGAGAATAATTAGTAACTGCTGCTTTGGCTTTACTTCCCAGACTTCCAAATGTGCTTATCACTGATCTATACAGTGATTATCCCAGATAGTTTGTAAGATGTAGGCTAATATAAAAGTTGATGCAGCATTTAGGTGAGATCTTGCTATAAGTAGCTATAAGTAATCTTTTCATTGCAACATTGAAGCATGAATCAACATTTGAAAACAAAAAGTTATTTCTTATCTTCTGGTAAAATGCCTACAACATGTCTGTAACAGAATTTAAATTATCTGTCAGTGTGGTCCTTTCCAAAGAAAACCTCAGTGACTGTAATTAACTCTCATTAAGATACAAACTTCTCCGACAGTCTGCAAACTGCAGGAGGCCATATGATGCGACAATAAAGTAGCTCCTGCACACTTCAATAAATCGTGCTGTGTAACACAAAGTGGAAAGCACAAAGTCTGAACTATAAATCAACTTTAGAAATCAACTCAAAGCACAGCAGAGCTCAACTAATGCTGAAGCTGACAAAACAAATCTTACACTGATGAAAACTGAGCCCGAAAAGCTCCCAAGACAAGTTCACAAGAAAAGTAACTCGTCAAAAATGTCCACTAACAGCCGGATTTAGGAGTTCACAACATGCCCTTACCCTGGTGCCACTGAATCTTATGTGTTGTGCACCCTAAGATGCTTTTTCATGTGTTTAGGTTTTGATTATTTTTTGACCATTATAGGAGGAAGATGAGAAGTCGGTTCATCGTTTACAGTTTCTCATTGTTACTGGAGCAAACTCAATACAGTTGTGTTTTCGTCTTTCATGGTACTTTAAATATCAGAAAGTACAGAATTTTCCCAAGAAATCAACACCTGATGGAAACAATAGTTAAGTAGTGTTCCTCTAACTATTGGTGGTACAATAGCTACATGGCTATTTATGACTTTTTTCATATAACTCCATCCATAAACCACCCATCTATTCACCTGCTTGTCTAAAGTATGATCACGTTAGCAGCATGCTAACCAGATATTTTATGTTGTCCAGTTCTTCCTGGCAGATCCCAATGGGCCAGAAACGCCTGGGCTCACTTTGGGGTCTCCCCCCAGTGGGGCCAACCCAGAAAACCTCCAAGAGGAAGTGCCCATGAGGCATCCAGATCAAAAGCATAAACCTCCTCAGCTTACTCCTTTTGATGACTGTGAGCACCTCACTATATGTCCCAAAGTGATGCTTATACTTGCAGATACAGACAGCTGCACACAGCATGGATGGATGTACTATTGTAGGGTCTACCTTACAATATAAAGCACCTTGAGGCGACTGATGTTGTGATTTGGCACTGTATAAATAAATTGAATTGAATTGAATGAGTATTTATTTGCTTTACAGCTCTTTGAAATCTGCTTGAACTCCACCTGAAGGGTGCATGCGTTATTGGCGAAGTGTAAGCTAATATCTCATTGTCTGCCTCACTGTGATACTAAAACCTACGTCATTTGCACCCAAGTGGACCTCGAGATGCCTCAAAGGCTGACACCAGCAGCTCTACAAAGGAAACTCATTTCAGCTTCTACATCCATCATCCAGAAACCTCCCACCCAACACAGAGCAAGCATCCACTGCTCTCCTGCAGTGGACCATAGCCCCAGAGTTGGAGGTGCTGACTCTCACCCCAAAGTGGAAAGTAATTGGAGTTCCTGCATATCACAAACAGGATTGGGGACAAGCGGCAACAGTGACAAATTCCAGTACCCACAAAATGGACTGCACCTTTATTTTCTACTCTACTGGAGCCCTCACAGTTCTTTTTTACAACTTCCCCATTCCTAAGCACTTTTATATTTAACATTCCCACTGTTCACCTATCACATATCCAAGGATACTTTGGCATGCAGACTGGAGCAGCCAGAGATCAAGCGACAAACCTTATGATTAGTAGATGACCTGCTCTACCTCCTGAGCAGAAGCCAGAACCAAAATAGTTTTTGACATTGTGTCAAGGACTGAGACACAGATCTGATGGCCTTAAACTTCTGCAAAATCCCCCAAAGGACCAGGTCATGAGCTTCATCCAAGTTCACATTGTTCCTTCTTTCACACAGACATAACTACAAACGTAACAGCAGAGTGAAATCAAACCTGAAGTTACGCAGCAAGAGCAGAGCCAATTACAAAGGTCATTTCAACAGAGATGAGTTTGAAAAGGTATTGTAAGAAAGGAAGATGGGAGTCAGATAGCTGGATAATCACAGCTTTGGCTTTCATTAAGCTGCTTTTGTAGAATGTACGTATTCACAGGATCTATATAAGATTTGATGGTTTTAATGAAAGGATTACGTCACCCTCAAGGACGACTGTGAGGTGCAAGAGAGTTAAAGAAGTCACCGGCTCTCACAAACAACCGGTGAGTCATTTCATATGTTGAAACATTTCAGTCTTTAATTTATATGTATGGGTTTGAGATCATTTTGTCTGCAAACTGTGAGAGCTCCAACAGCTTTTCTGCAACAGTTTAAAACTTAAATCTTACGCCTGTACGAGTGCTTCCGCGACTCTGAGCAGATCAGCAAGAGCTTTAAAAGCAGAGCACGTCACTGGCAAGCGGGTACGTTAGGTCAGTCAGTTAATGTTTACACTGATGAAGCCTTGCGCTGACATATCCACACTGTGGTGCTCCATGAATCATGAAATAGATTATTAGACCTCGTCTCCTTTTCTTGTGGGTCTGAGAAAACCACAAGAATGCCTCAGGACAGACTGTATGTGCAGTAGGGAACACTGCTGACCCATCAAAGCTCGTGTAAAAGCGTGATCGGCTTAGAGTGTAAAAAAAATCTGTTTCTGTAATTCTTGAAATGCAGAGAGTGGTCATTGTTAATCTCTTTTTATTCTTTCTCATCACAACTTCCTCTGCTTGCTCGTGTTATCTCTTCCTTTGTGTGTTTGCAAACGTTAAATTGTGACCTAGAGGGATTTGCATTTTGAGAAGTATTCATATATAGTATTGCAGTGCGACTATCTTATAGAGGGAACATTTTACATCCCTTTGTTAATTACTTGTGACTTTTTTATAGGGAGTATATTTTTGTTCCTTTATGTGTTAAGTTTTATGCTCTAATACCACTTTATCCTGAATGCTTGAATGAACAGTTTCATAAAAACAAAGATCTCTCGATAAACGTCTGTAAAACAAACATTTTATGCAGAAAAAGAACCATTTGTTAAATTTCTTTGAGATCTTAACTCACATTCCCTTTCAAAGATTTAGACAAATCCTGCACCATACCAACTCTATTTACACAGGGCTTTAAAAGCAAAGTGCTGTAATTAAAAATGAATAAATCCATTTCAACGATGAAGAATAAAAACAACAATAATAAAATAAAAGCAGAAACAAACCACTATAAAACAACAGAAACAAGTAAGATCATTGTCTCATGCTGGGTCAAAAGTCAGAGAGTGCAAGTGTGTTTTAAGACTAGTTTTTAAAAAGGAGAATGTAGGTGAGTGTCTAATGTGCAAAGACAATTGATTCCATAACCTAGGCGCACCAATAAAGAATGCTCAGTCCCACCTGAGTTTCAACTTAGATTGCTGTATATGTAGTAGCAACTGGTCACATAACCTGAGAGTGCAGGGGTAAAGGGGGTGCAAGCTCCGAAAACGACAGGCCCAAAGCTAATGGGTGATGTCAGGGTACTCTATACTTGTGGCAAGTTTTTTTTTTTTTCTTTTCTTTGTGTACAGATTTAACAAATGAGATATTATGATTACAGATGCAGTATGTGTAGGCGAGCTAGTGTTTGCATGCAAACCTGAAAAAGGAAGTCCAGTGAAGAACAATCAAACTCAATACTGACCAGGCTGTGTGGTGGCAAATGTGCAAGCCTGTTATTTTAAAGGAAACGGGCAAAAAAACAACAACAAAAACACACCTTGCTGGCGCCTGGCAGTAGGTGCAACTTGACGTAGGGATCTGACAGCCCATTGTGGTCCATTGGCTTGAGCCCCTGTGAAAGAAAAGAAGAATCATGGTAATAAAAATGTCATTTAGCACTTCCTTTTTTTGGACACTACTCCTGTTTTTGACAGTCAAATTTCCACCGGTGAAGATTTCCCAAAAATTAGGGATCTTTAAAGGAGCTCAGGGCATTGCAGGATTGAATTATATTAAACTGGAATTATTCTACACCTCTTTTTGGAGGGGATACTTTTCTAAAATTCTGAAATTTTTGGGATGTTGCCTGCAGCAACATTAAAAATTTGAATTATCAGAACCCTGCCGCATTTTAATTATATCACAGTCAGTACCACATTAAATCCATTTGCTTACTTTATGTCTAGTGATTCAGGTGATTGAGTGACAGGAAAAGAGCTGAGAACCCTTTTACCAAGCAGTAAATCAGCAACAGAATGACTCAAATCTTATTCATACTACACTGTTTTGCAGTCTTACCGTCCCCTGATTCATATGGTGTCATTTTGCCTATTCTTCTGCATTACCGCCACATACTGTGCCGGAATAGATCAATGTGTCAAAAAGACCAATGAAGTGTAAATAGACTGCACTGAAAATTCATACAACCGTTTGTCTGAAGGAACATTTTAAATAGTTTCAGTCTAATAGTCTCAGAAAAGCTTTTGATGTAAAGTGTAAAATTCACCATACTCAGTGAGAAAATAAGCTACAATCCAGCAACCGACGCAGTTACTTCAATTGTTTTTATTTAGGTGCTCAAAGTTGCTCATTCATGCTGTCAAAGCTGTTGGAACATTACTGCAGTGTAAATGAAACACGGGGGGAAAGAGCCAACTAAGTGAATACTCTGAAAGGTGCTTTTTATGGAGGTGATCCAAAGGTTTATGATTTGCTCTCTGGAAGAAAAATGATATCCAATAATCCAGTAAAAGGGAAATCTCTGAATATGTTGCTAAACTAGCATGTAAAAATGCAAAATCACAAAAATGTAAAAGCTGCATGCTCTGAGGATGAGAACAGACCATGAAGACCATTAACATGTCCCACTGAAACCTGGAAATCTGCAAAAATCCTCTGCATGCTACTTCTTACACTTTTAATCATTGCATAAAATCTGTAGTGCCTGAGAGATCCAGCGCAGTGCCACATCAGCTGGAAGGCTGCTGAGGAATGCTGAAGGGGAACTTACTAAAAAAAGAAATGTTTTATTTCTTTGAAGAGCAAATCAATGAGGCTTAGAGAGAGCAGGAGATGCAAAGGCCACTCATACAATGACCAAAGCAGGACAACACCATGTGGGTGCCCGCTTCATGAAGTGAAAGGACCTAAAGTGTTTCCTGAATCAAATGCGGTACGAACACAAAGAAGAAGTTAAAACCTCAAGCAAGTCGTCTTTGACCTCCTCTGGAGACGGAACTGTTCACACTGCCGACTCCTCCTGAGATAAAAGTTTAAACTGAAGTCCTTGAAGTAGCTAAACAGCAGTTTGGATATATTTTTTTAACATCAGCATCAATCGTATTCACGTTATTAGGTTTCATTAAAATCTGACCAATACACTCAGAGAAATAGCAATTCTTGTGAGAAGAAGGATGGATCAAGCCTAAATAATGCTGGATTCCATATTATTCTCATTTTTTCAGGTTCCTCTTCTCGAGCAAACTCTCACTATTTGCAGTTTTCAATTCTAATTTTCCACAAACTTTGGTGGACAGATCAGTACGCCGATCTATGGGCCTTTTGAAAACATGCACACATTAAGCCTGCACGAATCCTGCACGACACAATCCACGAGATGGTTAAAGTTTGGTTGCTGCGTTGTTTTGAGGCCTGAGGAAGTACCCCCAAAGACATTATACATCAGATTTTCGGAGTCTGAGTGACTATCCTCATGACTAAACTGACTTTTGTGTGTAAAAGGAATGGAAATCCCTTTAAAATTGAACTCTGGATTTAGTTCATAAAGTTGAGATTTAGAACTGATCAAAATCGAAGCAGTGGAGATGTCCTGGTAACATTTTTAAAAAAGATGTATTCTTTTGCCTTAAGCTAAAAAAAAAAAAAAAATCACAATTTTAATCCATAACAGAAAAACAAGAAAATATCAGGACTGAACTTTGATTAAATAAATATCAGGAAAATGTGCTTGTTTTCCACTCATTAAGCTTTAAGTTTTACTTTATTTTTTCCAACAGAAAATGGATTAAAGCAGCAAACATCACACTGTGTCTGAAAGCAATCCCCAGTTAAGAGACAAGTACAGTCTAATAATGATTGCTACATTGACATTACAGTTTGAATCTGCAAGGCTATTATCTCTTACTGAAAAATAAGAAAATAGGAAGTCCAGGGTAATTTTTTTTTAGTTTTTTGAGGTGCTCTTTCTTCTACATTTTAATGAGTAGCTCATAGGAAGGCGTCTGCGGTTTTCATCAGTAACTAAAGACTCTTTTGCCGTAAATTGTCCTTCCTGTAGTCGTTTAGTAATCATGCAGGAAGAAAATAAGGAGGAGTCTCTTACAAAAGTTAATCATCTGAAATTTCTACTCATGTGAAATTATCTGTGACTCTTCAAAGAAACGATTTCACCTGTGTGATTGCTGAGCACCGGTTTATTTTAAAAAGTGTAATATTCAGTATATTACAGCTTGTTCCCGAACCATCTGAAAATGTGCTTTTTATTCCCCAGTTGTTCTGAATATCAGCTGCTTATAATGACTTCAAAGTATACATTTCACACAAAAAAGTCTCTATATTAATGAAGTTATTAATATACAATAATTATTGTTTAACGTGTTGTTTCTGTCGTAACCGATACGGTGCAGGGTTTGCACCAAAAATAAGAGTAATGACAGATTAGAGGATGCATATGTACATGTCAAAGACTGCTGAAAAGCCAGTGGAGGAAACGGAGAGGTCCGCAGCATCACTTCCTTTTCACTCGACCAGATGAGTCATGAGCTCGCATCTTCATTCAAAGAGAAAAGTATCCGACATACATCAACAGCTCACTGGATTTATAACCAATGATGCTAATTACCAAGACCCATGGCTTTATTCATATTAAAAATAGGAGGCCCGGCTCTGATGAAGGCAGTCCATGACTGTTAGTGTTCAAATGTGTTTTTTCTTTTTGTATCCAGGCATGCTGTCACTGCATTGATGGTGTGTTTGGAATCATTGTCATGCTGAAAAATAAAGCTGCTGCTAATCAGATGCTTTCCAGGTGGATCAAAATCTGACGTTACTTTTCCGAGTTCATAATTTCATGAGTTTTAAGAAGATCCACAACACCACAGGCTGATATCTAGCCCCAAACTATGACAGTGCCTCCACCGTGTTTTACAGATGGATTCAGACACCCACTGTAGCCTCTTTCTCCTGATGTCCTCTGTACATACTGATGACTTACATCAAAACATTCAAAGTTGATTCATCTCTCCATCAGACCTGTTTACACTGATTTTTTAGTCCAGTTCTTGTGAAGTTTGGCATAACTGTTACTTGTACACAGCATCAAACATGCTAATTTCATAGCACTGACTCACTTTTCAAGCTAGCCCCAAGTGGCTGCTAAAGGAATTGCAGTTGCTTAATTTTAAAGGTTGCTGCTTGGTTTGATATAAGAGTCTCTTAGACATCTTATGCCACATTCAAAGGCTGGTTACTCAAGTTTTTATTTAAAGTTGCTCTTGGTGCATAAATGATAGAAAATAATTAAATGTAAGGTCATAAATAAATGCGTATTTTTCGCACCATAAGGCGCACCGGAATATAAGGCACACTAAGCAAAACAAAACACAGTCAGTTAAGTCAAATTTTACAAATTTGAATGACTAACCTCGTATTGTGGATGGATTATCTCAGTTTTTCTCCTGACTGAAGTTCGGTCCGTTTACACCATCGGTAACCCTCACGTTAACTTTTGTCGAGTGGAAAAAAGTTAGCGTTCATCCTCCAGCTTCACTGTGTTTATGTTATGCTAATATAGCTGTGTC